GCGAGAGGAACAAGTTTGGGTATGGGAAGGAGGTGTACCCTTCTCAGTGTGCTGAGTAGTGAGGGCTTGTGGACTTGCAGGTGAAGATGATCACCAGCAGGTGATTGGAAATGTGAAGTTGGCATTTTTGAGAAGTCAAGAATAGAGGGTTACGTTTGATAGCAGTTAGTTAAGAGATAGGAGCCCTGCTGACACAGTAGCTGAGCTCTCAGCTGCTGACTGATTGTCAGTTTGAACTCACCAGCCATTTTTCTGGAGAACGATGAAGCAGTCTGCTTCTATAAAGATTTACAACCTTGGAAACCCTATGAGGGCAGTTCTGCTCTGTCCTATAGGGTCACTATGAGTCAGAATCAACTCAGTGGTAACAGGCTTAGTTTGGGTTTGTTTTTACTTAGAGGTTACCACTGAAGCAGGGGGAAGAGAAACTTGTTAAAGGATGGAGTGGGAAATTGAAGGTGATAGGTGATATGTGCCTCACTTCTTGAAGGGTCTGGTTCTTTGGGTGTACCTAAAAGCAAAAAAACAAACTCACTGCCATCAAGTCCGTCCCAACTGATAGCTACCCCTCCTTGGGTTTCTGAGACAGTATCTCTACGGAAGTAGATTGCCCAGTCGTCCTTCTGAGGAGTGACTGGTAGGTTTGAACCACCAACCTTCTGGTTAGCAGTCAAATGCCTTAGGCACTATACCACTAGTACCTAGATAATGAAAAAATGCAGTGGAGGTTGACAAAAAGAAGAGGGAAAGGTTTCTACTGAGGTTAGTTTTGCCAAAACTGTTAGACCTTGCTTATGTGATTAGTTCTTAAATTGTAGAATTTAATAGAATGAATACCTGGCAAAAATGCACTATTAACCCATCTGCATTTCTAAGGGCTGAGCCTATCTTTGCACGGCCAAAGGCACCATTCAGTTTAATGTTACCAAAGACTGCAGTATTGTTAGTGTTCTTCAATTGTGTTCTTCTTAGTTGGGGAGAAGCTAAAAAGGAATAATTAATTAAGTAAATGAATAGTCTACTAAGTGGCATCTCAGATCAGGGGAAGGGAGAGGACTCAGGGGAAGAGAGAGGACTTTTGGAGTGAAATTAACTCTGAACCTAAGATTTTCAGTTTTATTTCAAGGTACGTGAAAGCTATATTTCTTGAAGTGACAGTTCAGGGAAGCCTATTGTGTGGTCATCAGACAATGCTAATGTGCATTGGCCCTTTCATTCACTTATCTTCAGCAGGATGAAAGTAACTAAGTTCATGGACTCAGCCATTCCTTCACAGGCTACTTTCCACTAACAACCAGTCTTGCCCTCCTTTCCCCTCCTCTTGTAACTTTGCACATTTCTCTCCTAAACAGTAGAAGCGTTTTCCAATGCCCCTGAAGTTTGAAAAAATAAAACCAGAATTACAAAGCAGAAGTCTGAGGGAATGTTGATTACAGAGCTTTGTTATGGAACTGGGAGATAAGCAAAATCTCATTTAATAAATACCTTCCCATTTAAAACCAAAAATAAAACACCTATCTTGAATTTTGCATATTGACACAGTCCTCATAGATATAAACTATAGTTGTAGAGAGAGCTGAGGTCGTCTGTTACCTGCTCATTGCCTTAGTCTAAGCATCTGAATTGTCAGGACATAATCAGAGCTTTTCTGATTGTGACTATTCTTGCAGTACAAGTACAGAGTCTTGGTCAAAATGTAAAACTAGGTAGACTCTGGTTGAGTGGCTTGGTCTGTATTCTAGGCTTGTAAACTCTCTTGCCCTTATTCACCTCTTCCCTAATGCCAGGAAACCAGATAGATTTCACCTTCCTCCATTTTAGAAGTCTTATTTACATTTTTTTCTTCCCTAGAAGGTCATTCATGCACAGAGCCAAAGAACATCAGTGCTTAAGAGTAGGGTTGCACAGCCAATTGTAATTGCTATCAGTAAGCTATATACATGTAAAAAGTTGAATTGGCAAAAGTTATGTGGTATATTTATGACAACTACCGAATAAAGTAGTTGCTTTTGTCTAGCCAGACTACCTCATGGAATTGAGTTCCTTCGTTTGGAGGTTTAGGGTCATGGTTTCATGGGACATGCCAGTTGGCTTGAAAAACGTGTTTAGTACTTCTGTTCTGCTGCCTAGTGTGTTGCATAGTGCCTGGGGTCTTCAAAGCTTGCAAGCAGCCATCCAAGGCACAGCAATTGTTCCTTATTCAACTGTGACAACAGAGGAAGAAGGGGACTCAGGAATAGGAGGAGCATATGGAATGTTTGGCTAATTGCCTCCATGAACAACTGCCTCCTTTGCCATGAGACTAGAAGAACTGGATGGTGCCTGGCTGCCATTACTGAACATTTTGAATTAAGGTTCCATAGAAGAATCCTGATCAAAAGGGTGAAAATGCAGAACAGAATTTCAAATTCTCATGTACTCTAGACTTTCTGGAGCTATGGAGAGTGAATGAAACCCTGAAACTATTGCCCTGAGATAATCTTTAAACCGTAAACCAAAAATATCCCCTGAAGTCTTAGTAAAACTGAGCAATCTCACTCACTGCTATCGAGTCAGTTCTGACTCATAGTGACTCCCCATTGGGTTTTCAAGGCTGTAAATCCTTACAAAAGCAGACTCCCTCATTTTTTTTTCCATGGAGCAGCTGGTGGGTTCAAACCCTGACCTTTTGGTTCACAGCCAAAGGCCTTAACCACTATACCACCAGAGCTCCTCAAAACTGAGCAATAGTTTGGGTTAACTAGTAAAAAGGTTTACCTTGACCATTATGCTCTTTTAAGAACTGTCTGTATGAGATCAGGGAGCTCTGATGGCACAGTGGTTAAGGCATTTGGCTGCTAACCAAAAGGTTGGCAGTTTAAACCCACCAGCTCCACGGGTGAAAGATGAGGCTTTTGTAAAGATTTGCAGCCTTGGAAAGCCTATGGAGCAGTTCTTCTGCACCCTACAGGGTCCCTGTGAGTTAGAATTGACGAGATGACAGTGGGTATATGGAATCAAATTAACAACAGCAACTTGAGAGAGAGATAGTAAGTAACCTTAGGGAACAGTGAGTTGATGTTAATAAGGGAAGAACTACTCAGAAAAGGAAAGCGAGAATTGTTGTACAACTTGAAGAATGTAATCAGTGTCACTGATTTGTACGTGTAGAAACTGTTAAATTGGTGTATGCTGTGCTATGTGTATTCTCAACAACAGCAACAAAATAAATTTAAAGATAAAAATATCAATGACAAAATATCTGAAATGGAGAAGATCAGCTGTGTGTTTTCTTGCCTTCAGCCTTTCTTTGAATGGGTGACTTCTTTCAAGAATGTAGTGTTTGAAGAGGTGTCCAGATGAGATCAGGCCACTGATTAAACTGCTGCCCTGCTTTGGCTGTGCTAGACCGCGCAGAGCAGTCTGCTAATACTCAAGACTCTTGTCGACAGATCCAAACCACATGCTTCAGGCCTTCTGGATTTTGCTGTGTCATGGAATGATAGGTTTCTTTCCTTCCTTGCTGAATTGTGGAAACAGGCTTTTGAGAAGACAATTGTTTAAATACCCATTCTCCGTCTTTCACTCACCATGGGCATAGCTACCTATTCAGTGTATGCCAATCTAGGGAATGAGTGAACTCATGTTTTCACCTCTCATTATTCGATAGGGGGAGAAACCCAAACTCTGGTACTCTTTTACTACAATTAAAAGGGTTTTAATGAAGGAAGGGAGGCTCTAGAAACCTCTCTTTTCTAGATCTTTACTTCTAGAGTCCATGCATTTTAGTAATCATGAGGACAGCCATAGTGCTTTGTAGTTTCCCAGATTTTGTCACATTCATGATCTCATTTGATCCTCATTGACCTCATGAAGTTTACATGTTAAGGTATTCTCAATTCCATTTTGCTAAAGGTTCAGAGTGGCAAGAGTTGCTTATGGGACATAGCTAGTGAGGGTCAAACTTGGGATTTAAACCTAGAATTTTGTCTCCAAACACAGTGCTCTTTTTCAAACACTGCTAAGCCCAACTACTAATCCCCTCTCAAGGAGCCACTGGATAACACAAATGGTTACGCTCTCACTTATTAGCCACCAGGTTGGAAGTTCAAATTCCCACCCAGAGGTGCCTTAGAAGACAGACCTAGAGATCTGCATCTGAAAGGTCACATCTTTGAAAACCCTGTGGAACAGTTTCACTCTGCACAACTGAGGTTGCCATGAGTCAGAATCAACTGACAGCAACTAACAATGATAAACCCCTCAAGGCCTTTCTCTGTTGAGTTGTGTGGTTCTCCTGTTAAAAAGTTACCTAGAAGGTGAATGGATAGCTCAGGCAAGATATATTATTAATCCTTTTTCTACTGGAAAATGAAAATTGTTGCTTTCTTAGAATAATTTGGGATGTTTGCCTCATTGGGTATTGACGGTTGCTTAAAGGATGCTTGATTTTGCTGTTTGTGAATAGCTCCTTTTTGGAAATAAGGAAAAAATTAAGAAGTTTGTGTACTGTAAGCTAGCGAGTTCCTTATATACCTGGGGTCAGAGATATTAGGAAGTGAGGAAAGTAGGCCTGAGAAACTTATTCAGACTTCATGAGTCTTCAGCTCGTTACCATAGATGACTGTTAACTTTGTCTTAGTTATCAAGGAGGGGGACTTATCTGGGAGGAGAGAGGTTTGAGTCTCTTTTTAGAATATGTGCTGTCTTGACTCAATCTGATCTCAGCTGAGTAGGGCTGAGGCTTTCACAGCCTGGAAATAGACGCTTTTGTGAAACTCTAGTAGCATAGTCCTAAAGCATTTGACTGCTAACCAGAAGGCTGGCGGTTCAAACCCACCTGCCACTCCTCAGAAGGGAGGTTGGGCAATCTACTTCTGTAGTGATACTGCCTCGGAATCCCAGGGAGTGGTTGCTATGAGTCCAGTTTGATTTGACGGCTGTGAATTTGGTTTGGTTTTTTTAATTGAATGAAAAAGGAGCTCATTCTTGCTCTTGTATGTTGCTTTTTTCCCCTCCAGTGGGCTACCTTGAGGATGGAGAGAGGAGCCAAAGAGAAGAACCATCAGCTTTACAAGCCCTATACCAATGGTAAGACTGGATCTTGATTCTTATCCTAAAAAGTCCCTTCCAAATATATTCCTAAATCTCTGAATGCCATACGTAGTCTTCACTATAGAAAATGTAGGGAAATACTTTGAGAGTTTCTAGAAATACTTTGAGTATTTCTAACATACTCTCTTCCAACAGAACATGCTGCCTGACCAGGGTATTTTCTTTTGCAGGAATCATTGCAAAAGATCCCACTTCGCTTGAAGAAGAGATCAAAGAAATTCGTCGAAGTGGGAGTAGTAAGGCTCTGGATAACTCTGCAGAGTTTGAGCTCTCTGACATTTTCTACTTTTGCCGGAAGGGAATGGAGACCATTATGGATGATGAGGTGACAAAGAGATTCTCAGCGGAGGAGTTGGAGTCCTGGAACCTGCTAAGCAGAACCAATTACAACTTCCAGTATATCAGCCTGCGCCTCACTGTTTTATGGGGGTTAGGAGTCCTGATTCGATATTGCTTCCTTCTGCCACTCAGGTGAGGGCAAGGCCTGATGGGGAAAAAAGGCTTGCATTGCTGCTGCCTAGGCCTAACGCATGATCTCGCCACCTCGCTTCCTCTGTTTGCATTCCCATTTTAGAAAGAAAGCCAGTCGGAATCCCACTGCTGCCTCTTGGAAGGGGACCTGGTGATTGTCCTTTAATAGCCACTGGAGTCTGCATATCAGAGAGACAGTTTCATAAAGACAAATTACTTGTCTGGGTGGAATAAACACAGGGACCAGGAACATCATGTACTTTCTGGCCACTCTTCCCTGGACATGGCTAATTCTTTGCTGCCTCTCCAGTACAGAGGCGATATTGATCTCAGTTTTTCTGTACCTAGTGCATTCTGGGTATGTCTTGCCAGATGCTTGTGCCTTCGGGCTCCTCCTCCAGTTGCTTCACACAGAAGCTGTGCATCTGCCAGGGTTGAAAGTCAAAGGGAAGGGTAAGACAGTAGGACAGCAATGGCCCAGGAATGGAACAGCTGACTTTAGGATTTTCCATTATTCTAGCAGTCTGGTGCTGGAGGAGATGGTGTCAGCTGAGAGCTAGATCCAGAGTTTACTGTCAGTTTGGCATGGAAATTATCTCTGGTTTTGAGAGGCCTGCTTTCATTTCATGGTGAAACTTGTCTTGGGTGGGCCTAGGTGATCAGATCTCGGGGCGGGGGGGAGTTGTGATGCCCACTTTCATTGTTACACATTTAATTCTAATACTTGGTACAAGGATCTGTGCTGTCTTGTAACCTGCCTTCTTCTTGCAGGATAGCTCTTGCTTTCACGGGAATTAGCCTTCTGGTGGTGGGCACAACTGTAGTGGGATACTTGCCAAATGGAAGGTGAGTAGACCTCTAGTGTCCATGTCTGAGGGGAGATTGTTCTGGGAATGGTGGTTCAGACACTGAAGGTCAGATGACTTCTTTGGATACAACCAAATCCACAGAACTTAGATGGCTCAAATAACCCAATAGTAACAATGGTGTGTCAGCATTAAATTATTATCGATCTTGATCTGTAGCTATGTTCTTTTTGCCCTCTGACCTTCATGCTCTTCCCATTTTAAAGGCAAAAGGGAGAAACAACAAAAATGGAGAGTTCAGGACTCATCTGTTAGCAGATTTTATAGCATGTTTAGTTTTGAGCATTTTAAGGAGCCTGGTAGCTCTGGTGGCGTAGTGCCTAACATCACTACGTAGTGATGATGTTGTTAGGTGCTGTCAAGTTGGACCCGACTCATAGCGACCTCTCCTTGGGTTTCCGAGGCAGTATCGCTATGGAAATAGATTGCCCTTCCAAGGAAACTTCCTTCCGAGGAGTGGCTGGTGGGTTTGAACCATCAACCTTCTGGTTAGCAGTCAGATGCCTTAGCCACTACACCACCAGAGCTCCCAAAAAGTGATTAGCAATATAGAATTTTTTTTTAAAGAAAAATCTGACCCTTCCAGAAAGTTCTGCGGCTTAGCAAACCTTTCTTCTTCCCAGGCTGGTGAGAAGGTATGACTCTGACCTTTGTCCCACCTCTAGGTATTGACTGAGGAGAAAAAAAGGAATTCAAGAGACATCATGGCTCATCTGTGCTGGAAATTCTAGGGCTATGAATTCTAAACCCACTAACTTAGGTGAATTTAAGGAAGTCTTATCATCATTTGTTTCTTCATGTATAAACATGAAGGTGCTAATATATTTCAGGGTTTTACCATTATACACTGATACTTAGAAAACATTTTGCCATCATAAAGGACTGTAGGCCGTAGTAGTTGAACTGTTGGGCTCAGCAACGTTTACTCTCTTCCTAATGTGAAACAAAACAAAAATATCCATCTGTTATTGCAGATTTAAGGAGTTCTTGAGTAAACATGTTCACCTGATGTGTTACCGGATCTGCGTGCGAGCACTGACAGCCATCATCACCTACCATGACAGGTGAGGCTGCTGTGTACGTAGACACAGGGTGTGGCACAACATCCGGCCCATGTACAAATGGAGATTTTTCTGAGCTTTTACTTGGAGCTGATGAAGTTTGTGAGGGAGGGATGAATTTCAAATGAATTGTGCACTCTAACTTTTGTTGCTTTGTGTATGTTTTTTAAACCTAGAAAAAATAGACCTAGAAACGGTGGCATCTGTGTGGCCAATCATACCTCTCCTATTGATGTAATCATTTTGGCCAGTGATGGCTACTATGCCATGGTAAGATCTCTTTTTGTTGTTTTCTTGTGGCAAAACATTTTATACTAGATTCACTAGGGCGGGGCAGCTTCTGGACCTTTCCCAGAGTGCTTTCTTAAGGTATAAACACATAAACATGCTATCTATACATGATCATAGTGGTTTCTATTACTTTAGGGAACTCCTTGCAATCTTGATTGGAGATACTCCAAGTGGAAGCAGCCCTGGGTCACTGAAGAGTGTGGTAGAAGAATATACTTTGAATCTTTAGCAAAGGGGTAGAATATTAGCAGAAGGTAGATTTGAAGGGACTGGATTCAAGGGCAAGGAGCTCTGGTGGCACACTGGTGCATTCAGCTTCTAACTGAAAGGTTGGTGGTTTGAACCCACCAGCCTCTCCATGGGAGAAAGATGAGGCAGTCTGCTTCTGTAAAATCTTGTATACCCTGTAGGGCAATTTTGCTCTGTACTATATGGTCACTGTGAGTCAGAATGACTTGATAGCAGTGAGTTTGGTTTTGGCTTTTTTGTATTCAAGTACACTTGAGGATCTACACAAGAGGGGCATTTTACATAAGGTATTGCTCAGTTTTATTATTTTGTTGTAGGGTTTTCATGTATGTTTTTAATTATACATTGCTGGTAGCAACTATTCACAGGAGAAATTTAAGACCCAGAGAATAATAGTGAAAAACCTATAGTTAGCAGTATATGTTAGATGGTGAGAGGTTGAGGTGTACTTATCTTGGACCTGGGGTTTCTCCCCTGGGAATGAGGGGGAAGAGGATTTGGGTGAGGATGGCTTCACTAATAATTATTTCTTTGTCTGAGATTAGGTGGGTCAAGTGCATGGAGGGCTCATGGGTGTGATTCAGAGAGCTATGGTGAAAGCCTGTCCTCACATCTGGTTTGAGCGCTCTGAAGTGAAAGATCGCCACCTGGTGGCTAAAAGGTAAATCTGACAAAATACTTTTGTTTCATATGATCAGTTGTATAAAAAGAATACAGAACAGAACATTTTAGGGGTAGTTATTCCTCCACAGTGGAATTACAGGTAAATTTTTTTTTCATTTTGACATTTTTCTTAGTACTTTCTACGCTGAGCCTATACTGTTTTCATCATAAAAACATTTTCTAAAACATGACTACAAAAGTATGGAAGCCTTTTTACTATTTACCAAGTTAATAATGTTTTTTTTTTTTTTTTTTTAACCTTTTGTGTTTCCTTGTCCCTGTGTAATAAGCAAAATAGGAACTTTTAATGCTATTTGAAATCTCCAAATCTATTATCACAATAAAAACAAACCAAGGAAATGTAACAAAGTATTCTCAGTTTTCAAACTTAGAAAACAGGTTAATCTAGTGCATGTAATAGAAAGTGCTTTGCAGTAGACTGAAAAGAATCGAGACTCCAGTGAGACCATCTTTCAAAGGACAGGTGACCCTTCCACCAGTGTTTGTCTGGTGCATCTCTCAGGAAGAGTATTGCTCCAGGTAGACTGTAGGCTCAGCTAGGCAAGGCTGCGGTGCAGTCAGGTAGCAGACATTTATCGAGGGTCAGGATATTTTTTTTTAAGATATTCCCAAGTCTGAGCAGTATCCTTTAGTACTAACTTTTAATACTTTTTTTAAAAAATTGTGTAGATTAAATAGTGATTACCTGATTTTCCCTCTCTTTAGAAGTTTCATCTTTATTAGCCTTTGATTATGGCTTTATAAAAGATTTTTTATCTTTTAGCTTTTATACAACAAGTAAACTTGTCACATCTGAATAGGTTATTTATATATGTATTTTGAAATGGTAAAATACTATTTGACCCTGGTTTTATTTTTCTCTTTTGAAGATTGACTGAGCATGTGCAGGATAAAAGCAAGCTGCCTATCCTCATTTTCCCAGAAGGTAAGGATTGATCAACACAAAGAACTTCTGCAGAGAAGCCAGGCAGGATGGTGCCTGTTAGGTTAGCCTAGCAACCAGATCCCTCAACCCTTGTTAGGGTTACCTGTCTTCAGTGAAGAATGTCAAGTTCCCTTTAGATTAATTGTGGAACTGAAAATTCAGGGAATTTCAGAGCTTGGTCTAAGAATGGAATAGAGTGAACTTAAAAAACAAAAAATTGCCTTTGAGTCATTTCCGACACATGCTGACTCCATGTGTGTCAGAGCAGAACTGTGCTCCGTAGGGTTTTCAGTAGCTGAGTTTTCAGAAGTAGATCACCAAGCCTTTCTTCTGAGGCACCTCTGGGTGGGTTTGAACCATCAACCTTTGGTTAGTAGCCAGTCACTTAATCATCTGTGCCACCTGGGGACTCCAGAGTGAGCTTAATTACTAATTGTGAGAAGAAAAAAAAAAACCTCCCTCTGTTACATACATTCTCAACAGGGTGTTTCAGCTTCCTGTAGAATTCTCATTGAGACTTCCCAAGTCTACTGAGATCTCTGGTCTTTTATTAAGGCTGATGCATGTTAAGCAGGGAACGTGATCCTGTAAAAAGAGAATGGGAAACAATACAGTACTTTGCCTTTCTCTTTTATGTGTTTACTCATAAGTTAGGAAGATGATAGATTTATCCTGTTTGGGTAGTCATTAGAATTAGGATTGTATTTAGTCCTTAAGGAATGCTTAATCTCTGGTGTAAAGCCCCAAAAGAAATAATATTTCACTCTCTCTCGCTTTTTAGGAACCTGTATTAATAATACATCAGTGATGATGTTCAAAAAGGGAAGTTTTGAAATTGGAGCTACAGTTTACCCTGTTGCTATCAAGGTACAAGACATTTGAAGGGTGCATGTTGTCATTATCCCAGCTGCCTTGAAGGGATACAGCAAGAGGAAGTAGGAGCAGCAGCTGGCATCACTGGTCCGTGGGTTGACTTTCTCTAGCAGAGCAGATGGGGGGCTGGCTGATGTGGGCCGAGTGCTAGAGGAGAGTGCTGAATCATTCAGACTCCATCAGAAGGGTCTCCCATCCATACCTCACCAGGAAATGGTAAACCCATCACAAGCTTTTTTTTTCCTCCCCTCTGTATATTACTTCTTCATAAACCTAACTGAGCTATAGCATATTCTACCAGAAAAGGTAGCTTATTGCAGGGAGTAGGAGGTGTGACTAAGCCAAACTAGCTTAGCTTTCAACATTTGGTAGACAAATGAGGATGGATGGGTATAGTTAGGTCCTTATCACTGAAAAAAAACAATGATACCATGTTGGCTTATGGCATCATTTTATATACCAAGAACAGCTCCTCAAAATGAAATGGATCTTAAGAACAAATCTAATCTATCCCCCACCCTTTAGGAACTTGTACCTCTGACTGTTCAGATTCACCCAGAGACACGGATATCAGTTAGCCAGTCAGTTTTGCATTTTGCTTTTTCTCCTCTTTCTCTTGCTTCCTTCACATCTATCAGATTTCATAAATAGATACATACTGTTATTTTAAAAAGAACCCAGGATTTATATTGCCAATACGTTTGCAGTATTAGTTTGAAATCCCAAATCAAGGTAAAATTTGAGTAGATTTGAGTCAGAGTTAGACTTAGAATTTAGTCTTCAAAATTCTGCAAAGGTCTGTTTGCTATCTATAGAGCATTCTGTAGAAATTGTTCTTATGTTATCTTGACTTTGCTGGCACAGCTGGTGCTATTGAGGGAAAGAGGTGTTCCTCCTGTCTAAGCAAACGCTTACCCAGCCTCTCACCTTGGACAAGTTAGATAAAGCATCAGGGCAGGGTGGCAAATGACTATTAGCTGCAGAGGAACTCTGATCGATGGATGGTTTGTTGAGGATGCTGTGTCTAGTAACATAGTCTGTTAGCAGTATTTGCTGTGGGGGGAGGATTGTAGAGTAGCATTTGCACCCCACCCATCCCATCCTACATTATTATAATGGGAGTCAGGTGCTTCATGTGTTTATTAAAAACACAGTACTAGATGGAAGCCCTTATTACACTAGAGCAGTAGTTCTTAAACAGTATCACCTACAGGAGTTATTCAAATGTAGAATGCTGGGCTCCAAGGCCAGAGTTTCTGATTGAGTAAGTCTGAAAAGGGGTCTAGAGTTTGTATTTCTAACATGTTCCTGGGTGGTGCTGATGCTGCTGTTTAGGGGACCACACTTTGGAATGTTCTTGACCATGTTTGGAGCATGAATCCTGGGAAAAGTTGTGACTCCTCCCAAGAAAAATGCATGCACATCTTACATATAGTAGTATTTGGCTCACAGATTTAGTAAATCCTATCTGTGGTTAAGGAGCCCTGGTAGCTCAGTGCTTAAGTGCTTATCTGCTAACTGAAAGGTGGGTAGTTCGAACCTACCAGCTGTTCCACAGAAGAAAGATGAAGCAGTCTGCTTCTGTAATGATTACAGTCTTTGGGGACCATGGTCACAGGGGACATACAGCTCAATTGGCACAACATAGTGTACAAAAACATTGTTCTACATCTTACTTCGACTAGGGTCTTTAAAGCTTGCAAGTGACCATCTAAGATGCAATTATCATGTCCTTGTCTGGAGCATAGAAGAGTGAAGAAAATCAAAGAACACATGGACATAAACAGTCCAAAGGACTAATGGACCGTGAGGACCTCAGCCTGTATGACCTTGAGACCAGAAGAACTAGATGATGCCTGACTACTACTGCCAGCCACTCGGAAAGGGATCAAAATTGGAGATCCTGGATTGTTGTTGTTGTTGTTGTTAAGTGCCATCGAGTTGTTTCCGACTCATAGCGACCCCATGCACAGCAGAACGAAACACTGCCCTATCCCGTGCTAGCCCCACAATCCTTGCTATACTTGAGCTCATCATTGCAGCCACTGTATCAATCCATCTCGTTGAAGGCCTCCCCCTCTTTCGTCAACCCTCCACCCTACCAAGCATGACATCCTTCTCCAGGGAATGGTCCCTTCTGACAACATGACCAAAATAGGTGAGACGAAGTCTGGCCATTCTTGCTTCCAAGGAGCATTCTGGCTGCACTTCCTCCAGGACAGATCTGTTAGTTCTTTTAGCAGTCCATGGTACTTTCAGCATTCTTCGCCAGCACCACAACTCAAAAGCATCAACTCTTCTTCAGTCTTCCTTATTCATTGTCCAGCTCTCACATGCATACGAGGTGATTGGAAATATCACGGCTTGTGTCAGGCACACCTTAGTCCTCAATGAGATATCCTTGCTCCTCAGCACTTGAAACAGTTCCTTCAAAGTTGACTTTCCCAGCGCTACACGTCATCTAATGTCCTGACTGCTGCTTCCGTTGGCATCAATTGTAGAACCAAGCAACGTGAATTCTTTGACAACCTCAATCTTCTCTCCATTTATTGTGATGCTGCTCATTGGTCCAGTTGTGAGGATTTTTGTTTTCTTTGTATTGAGAACTGATTTTGTTGCTTCTTGTACATTTTCTTTCTCTACTGTCTCTCCTACCCTTGCTTATGTACTGCTTGAATTATTTTGATTAGTGAGAAAGAGATACAGAGCTGTGCCCAAATTTCCACAAAATGCTATTTAAGAACTCTCCATGAGCGTAGTTGGCAAATGAAAATGATAAACCTGCACTTGGGTAGGAAATGCAGAGCACATGTGGTTGATACCTCACAACACTATGAGTATATGTCCATTTGTTAATGAATACCGGTGACTAGAAGGAGAGCCGCCTTGTTAGAAGTAGAGAATTGTAACTATAGAAGTTTATCGCAAGCTTTCCAGTTGTTTACTCCTTGGTGTGGAGCAGCAGAAATGATATGAAAAGTTGTTGGTTGTATAAGGAAATCCCCTTGTTTGGGTGAGGTACATATTGAAGTGTTTGTAAGAGAAATGACATGCCAAGATGGGCTTTACAAGAGGGGAGGGGCTCAGTGAAGCGACTATAGTAAACTGTGGACAGTTGTTAGAATCTGAGGACTGTATGTGAGTGCATTATCCTATTCTATTTTCGAATATGGTTGAAAACTTCAATGATAACGCATGTAAGATATGAAATTAATTAAAGAGGGAGACCTTGGTTTGCTTGAAGAAAACTGTTAGGAGAGCCCTCCCGCATGATGTCCAGCAGAAGCTTAGGTCCATCAAGGAGAGGTTAACTGGAGGTCAAAACTGCCTAGTGAGTAGAGTTACTTTAGAAGTGTTCCTCTAGGGAATCTGGCACCATTAGAATCTGTTACTGATACTTCCCAGTTGACCGACTCAGAAAAGTTACTGGTGACACCCATGCATTGTTAGAACTACCGACTTCTTATTTAGCTTTCCATTGTTTTCTAGTATGACCCTCAGTTCGGTGATGCCTTCTGGAACAGCAGCAAATATGGGATGGTGACATACCTGCTGAGAATGATGACCAGCTGGGCCATTGTCTGCAGTGTTTGGTACTTGCCACCCATGACCAGGGAGGTAGGTGCCCCCAGCAGTGCAGGGGTCTTCACTTACTCTAACATGATTGAGAGCCTTGATTGAATGGTCTCATTCATACTTTTCTTACAGACAGATGAAGATGCTGTCCAGTTTGCAAATAGAGTGAAATCTGCCATTGCCAGGCAAGGAGGACTCGTGGACCTGCTATGGTAAGTTTAGGCCACACTTTATCAGCTAAGTCTAAGAGAACATGAATTTCTGAAGCAGATGCTGACTCATTGACACCATTTACAAAAAAATCTTCCTTTTCCTGGTATGGAGAGTTGAAGTCACCAGCCTCGGAGAGTGAGCAGTTTGATGCATTTCTCCTCATTCCAACTTAGAACTCCCTGTGCACTTAACCTGTTCTGGAGGAATAAGGACTTGCACTGAAACAGTCAATTCTGTGTACCTTTTTGGGGTTTGTACTGTTCTACTGTTATTGTTAGGTGCCATTGAGTTGGCTCTGACTCATAGCCACCCTGTGTATAACAGAACGAAACACTGCCCAGTCCTGTGCCATCCTCACAGTTGTTGCTTTGCTTGAGCCCATTGTTGTAGCCACTGTGTTAATCATCTGATTGAGAGGCTTCCTCTTTTTTGTTGATCCTATACTTTCCCAAGTGTGATACCCTTCTCCAGGGACTAGCCTCTTCTGATAACATGTCCAAAGTATGTGAGACATAGTCTCACCATCCCTGCTTCTAAGGAGCATCCTGGCTGTATTTTGTCCAAGACAGATTTGTTCATTCTTTTGATAATTCATGATACATTGAATATTCTTCACCAATACCATAATTCAAAGTCATCAATTCTTTGGTCTTCCTTATTCATTGTCTAGCTTTCACATTCATACGAGGTGATTGAAAATACCACAGCTTGGATCAAGTACACCTTAGTCCTCAAAGTGACATCTTTAATTTTTAACACTTAAAAGAGGTCTTTTGCAGCAGATTTGCCCAATGCAAGTTCATACATGTTAGGCGATGTTTCACAGATTCATAATTGTTCTTTAATGTTGTGTACTATTCCTTTGTGTTTGTGTACTATAGTTTGTCAATCAATTCCTCTGTTGATGGGCATTTAGGTTGTTTCTGTCTTTTTGCTATCATGAATAATACTCTGATGAACATAGGTGTGCACATGTCAGTTTGTGTCATTTCTCTAGGGTATATACTTAGTGGAATTTCTATTTCCAGCTTTTTAAGGTAGTACAAAACCATTTTGCACAGTGCTTGCACTATTTTACAGAACCACCAGCAGTGTATAAAGGTTCTAGACTCAGCACACCCTAGTCAGCATTTGTTTTCTGTTTTTTTAAACTTTACTGTTAGTGTTGGGGTGAGATGATAATGCATTGTTGTTTTGATTTGCATCTCTCTAATGCTAATGATCACAAGCATTTCTTCATGTGTTTATTAGCTTCCTAAATGTCGTCTTTGGTGAAGTGTCTGTTCATGTGGTTGGCCCATTTTTTAATTGAAATGTTTATCTTTTTGTTGTTAATGTGTTGAAGTTTTCTATAAATCTTAGAGATTAACTCCTTATCCAATATGTCATTACCAAAATTTTTTCCCAGTCTGTGAGTTCTCTTACTCTTTTGGAGAAATCTTTTGATGTGCATAAGTGTGTCATTTTCAGGAGGTCCCAGTCATCTATTTTGTCTTTTGGTGTTTGTGTGGTTTTATTTATGTTTGATAAATAATTCGATATATTAGGACATTATATAATGATTAAAATATCACTTGAACAAGAAGACATAACCATAATAAATATCTACACACCCAGTGAAAGAGCTCCAAAATATGTAAATCATACTAACAGAATTGAAAAGAGAAATAGACAACTCCAATAATAGGAGAGTTTAATATACCGCTTTCAATAAAGGACAGAACAACTAGGAAGTAACTTAGCAAAGTCAAAGAACTAAATGATACAATCAACCCATTTTACCTTATTGACAAATTCTTAAAGACACAGTTAGGAATGGATCTCATTCGTAGCCTGGGGGTTGCCTGTATCTCAGTAGTTATTCCATCAATTTCTGGAGCCTTGTTTTTCACCTTGCCTTCAGTCCATCTTGGACTTCTTCCATACCATTGGTTCTTGATCATATGCTGCCTCCAGAAATGGTGAGTACAGACCAGTTCTTTTGGGGACAGTGACTCTGTATTCGTTCCATCTTCTTTTGATGCTTCCTGCATTATTCAGTTTTTTGCTTGTAGAATACTTCAAAATTATAAGTCAAGGCTGAATTTCTCCTTCAGTTCTTTCATCTTGAGAAGTGCTGAGCATTTTCTTCCCTTTTGGTTTTCTAACTCCAGGTCTTTGCATGTTTCATTATAGTACTTTGCTTTGACTTCGTGAGCCAGCCTTTGAAATCTTCTGTTCAACTCTTTTTACTTCATCATTTCTTCCATTTGCTTTAGCTACTCTGCATTTAAGAGCAAGTTTTAGAGTTTTCTGACATCCATTTTGATCTTTTCTTTTTTTTTTTTCTTTTTCTTTGCTTTCTTTAAAGAGCCTTGGCAGCATAGTGCCTAAGGCATTTGACTGCTAACCAGAAAGTTGGCAGTTCAAACCCACCAGCCACTCCATGGAAGGAAGACTGGGCAGTCTACTTCCATGAAGATTTACTGCCTCAGAAACTCAAAAGAGGGTCGCTATGAGTCAGAATCGACTCAGTGGCAGTGAGTTTAGTTTGGTTTGCTTTGCTTTCTTTATGTGTGATATCCTCAGTGTCATCACACAACTCGTCTGGTCTTCAGTCATTAGTGTTCAGTGTGTCAAATCTGTTGTTGAGATAGTCTCTAAATTCAGGTGGTATATACTTATAGTCATTCTTTGGCTCTCGTTGTTGTTGTTAATGTGCTGTCGAGTCAGACCCGACTCATAGTGACCCCTCCTTGGGTTTCCGAGGCAGTATCACTACAGAAGTAGATTGCCCAACCTTCCTTCCTCATAGACTGGTTTTAATTTTCTTCAGCTTCAGCTTGAATTTACGTATGAGCAGTTGATGACTCATTCTACAGCTGGCCCTGGTCTTGTTCTGGCTGGTAGTATTGAGCTTCTTGATCATCTCTTTGCTCAGATGTAGTCTTTTTGATTCTTCTGCATTCCAGCTAGTGAGGTCCAGTGTATAGTTGTCATTGATGTTGTTAAAAGGCAGTATTTACAATGAACAGGTGGTGGTTCTTGCAAAATCCTGTCATCCAATCTCTGACATTGTTTCTGTCACTAAGGCATATTTTCAAACTACCAGTTTTTATTCTTTGTTTCCAACTTTTATATTCTAATCACCAGTAATTTTCAGTGTATCTTGATGATATGTTTGATCAGTTTCAGCTTGCAGAAGTTGGTAAAAATCTTTTAATTTCTTCTTCTTTGGCATTTAGTATTTGGTGCTTAAATTTGAGTAATAATCATATTAACTGGTCTTCCTTGTTGGCATATGGTATTGTCCTGTCATTGATAGCATTGTACTTCAGGTTACATCTTGAAATTTCCATTTTGATGATGAATGTGACATATCTTAAATTTGTCATTCTCAGTATAGTAGACCATACAATCGTCTGATTCAAAATGGCAAACACCAGTCCATTTCAACTCACTGATGCCTTGAATATCAGTCTTCAAGTGTTCCATTTTTGACAGTTTCCAATTTTCCTAGATTCATACTTCATACATTTCATGTTCTAATTTCATTTTGAGTCATGCCCCATCAGCAAATGAAGGTCCCAAAAGCTTTATTCCAGCCACAGCATTAAAGCTGGCTGTAGTTTGAGGAGGAGCTCTGGTGGCTTAGTGGATAAAAAGCACTCAGCTGCTAACCAAAAGGGCTGCAGTTTAAACCCACCAGCTATTCCAAGGGAGAAAGATGTGGCAGTTTGTTTCCATAAAGATGATAGCCTTGGAAACCCTCTGGGGCAGTTCTCTGTCATAAAGAGTTTGCTATGAGTCGGAATCAACTCAGTGGCAATAGGTGGGGTACTTTGAAGAGGTAGTTCTTTCCCAGTTATATTTTGAATACCTTCCAATCTGAAGGGCTCATCTTCTGGTAATATATCAGACTGTTCCCAGTGCTATTCATAACATTTTCACTGGCTTGGTGTTTTTTTGTTTTGTTTTGTTTTTTTGTTTTAAGTAAATTGCCAAGTCATTTTTCCTAATCTGTCTCAATCTGGAAGTTCCGCTGAAACCTATCCAGCATGAATGACCCTGCTGGTATTTGAAATACCAGTGGCATAGCTTCAAGCATCACAGCAACATGCAAGCCACCAGTTTGAAAAACTGGCAGATGATTTGCGCCGAAGCAGTCAATTCTGTGTACCTTTTTGGGGTTTGTCTAAATCTGTGAGGGCACCCAAACTATCCTGGTCTCTTCAGGTAGGGGTGACCTGATGCTTGATCTGGAAGCCTCTTAGGAGTACTAGACTTTCTCTGATCTCAGTGTATTGGGCAAAACTGGACCATCCTTAGGAAGACAGGAGTTTCATTTATTGCATTTAGCTTGTTACCTAGTAGAGCAGAGGTTGGCAGACTTGTTGTAAAGAAACAGATAGTAAATATTTCAGGCATTTTTGGCCAAATGGTCTCTGTTGCATTCCTTAACTCTGTCTTGGTAGGGTGATGCAGCCACACACAGTTGTAGTCAAATAAAACTTCATTTACAAAAACAGAAGATAGACTAGATTTGGCTGGTGGGCCATAATACCCCTATTGTAGAGTATGAGACTCTACTCCTCGAAAGGAAGTTTGGGCAATCTACTTACGTAGTGATACCACCTCAGAAACTCAAGAAGGGGTCGCTATGAGTTGAGGCCAACTCAACGGCAAATAACAACAACAAGAGTATGAGATAGTTATACTCCAAAGAACAGGAGATTGTGATAACAGGGTTAGTTCAGAGTGTTAGTTCAGGGAAACACTCTAGACCTGTTGGCACAATGATAAGTGTTCAGATATTAATGAAAAGTTGGTGGTTTGGACACATTGGCGAGAGAGACCTGGTAGTCTGCTTCTGTAACGATTACAGCCTAGGAAACCTTATAGGGAAGTTCTAGTCTGTCACATGGGTTCATCATGAGTCAAAATCAACTTGATGGCACCTAAACAGCACAAGTGCAGGGGTCAGCTCTGGAGAGCATTTGACTTAAGTACGTGTTACGGGAAAAGAAAATACAAAGATCCAAATTTTAAACTGAACTGTAGATTCTCAGATTAGCACTTTTAAAAAATGCTAACATTTGTTGTGGGAGCTCTGGTAGCATAGTGGCTAAGACACTTGCCTGCTAACCAGACGGCTGGCGGTTCAAACCCGCCAGCCACTCCTTGGAAGGAAGGTTGGGCAATCCTACTTCTGTAGTGATACTGCCTCGGAAACCCAAGGAGGGGTCGCTATGAGTTGGGGCCGACTCGACGGCACATAACAACAACAACAACATTTGTTGTACACCTACTATGTGCCAGGCACATCAGCCAGTGCTGCTGTTCTGTCTAATAGTCTTATCTCATCCTCACAGTAATCCCATGAAGTTCAACTTTTACAAGGTCACAAAATAAGCACTGGAGCTAGATTTTAACCCAGGTTTGTTAGTACTTCTAGTACTAAAATAGTTCATGTTCCCTATCACGGAGGCCTAACAAAGACAAATACGGTGACTTTTAAAAGCAGAAAGACTAAAGGGGTGGACTTAGATTTTCATTAGTCATTAAAGGTGATAATAATTCTTGAGTTGAGTAGATGTGAGCAGGATCGGTGGGAATGGGACTATGAAGAAACAAATCTAACTCTAGAGGATTTGTTCGGGCACATTGCAGGGAGGTGCCAAGGCCAGGTGGTCGGGACTTTGTGAGTTAGTTGAGGAGTTTAACATACCTTGGGTGACTCAGATGGTTGAGTGCTTGGCTACTAGCCGAAAGGTGGCAGTTCGAACCCACCTACAGTCACCTCGGAAAACAGGCCTGGTGATCTGCTTCTGAAAGGTCATGGCCTTGAAAACCCTATGGAGCACAGTTCTGCTCTGACACATGTCTGTTGGTTATACTGTGGTGGCTTGTGTGTTGCTGTGAGGCTAGGGGCTACACCACTAGTATTTCAAATACCAGCAGGGCCACCCACAGTGCACAGGTTTCAGAGGAACTTCTGGAGGAAGACAGACTGGGAAGAAACACTGGGCCATCCACTTATGAAAAAACTGAACACTGAAAACCTTATGAATAGCAGTGAAGCACTGATACATTACTGACAAATACAGGGTTGCCTTAAGTCTGAGTCACTCAATGGCAGCTAACAAAGTAACTTAATCCTCTAAGCATGGAATAAGGGAGAGCATGCATTTGCCTTTTGTTAGCTGTTTGCATGAATTTGGAGCATCCCTGAGTGTGAATTTTACTCGTTACTCATTGAGACTCAAGGTGTCTCATATTTTTTAAAACCTGGCACCCCCTCTGTTTTCGTTACCTCTGTGCCACTCTAACAAGAATATAACACAAATGGTTTACTTGAACAAACAGGAGTTTGTTCTCTTATAGTTTAGAGGCTTTAAGTCCAAGTTGAAAGTGCCAGGCTCTAAGGGCTGGGTGAAAGCCCCTCAACCTTGGGCTTCAGCTCTTCCTCTTGCTCCCAGCTCACTGGAGCTGGAGGCTTTTCTTCACTCAGACAGCTGCTGGCGTGGAGGCTGACAAGCCTAAGGTTGACAAGTAAAAAGGCACAGTTCTGATGTTCCCAAACCACACAGCAGGCCATTAATTCAAATCCATTGAAAGTCCCAAGGTCAGCAGAGATGGCAGGCTGCTGAACAAAGACATGGCTACATGCAGGGTTCAAGTGTGCCATAAGCTAGAGACTGTTCCCCAAGGCTTCTCCATATATACATCAAGCAGACCATATCCCTAAGGAAGCTACTCGGCTGCTCCCAGTAGATTCCACCATGGAGTTGATTACAAGTCTCATCATGGGGAATACTACATCCAGCTGCCCAGCCACTCAACCAAGCCCAGCCAAGTTTACACACAAACTTAACTACCATACCCTCTATAATGCCAGAATATCTCTTTATCCTTTGTGAGAATGAATGTGACAGTAAAAAGAATACGAAACTACGCAATTGTTGTTATGTGCCGTCAAGTTGGACCCGATTATAGTGACCCCTCCTTTGGTTTATGAGGCGGTATCACTACGGAAGTAGATTGCCCCATCTTCCTTCTGAGGAGTGGCTAGTGGGTTTGAACCACCAGCCTTCTGGTTAGTAGTCAAGTGCCTTAGGCACTACACTACCAGAGCTCCCAAACTACTCAGTAGGTTAAATCAATTATAAAAATCCCTTGAATATGAATAGTGATTTTTCTTTTTTAATTTTATTTATGAATAGTGAATTATGACCCCAGGGCAAGAGTGAAAATCTTGAGGTAGAAAGGGTGGATCCCTGGAATCTAGGGCTGGTGCAGAGGTTTTCCTACTGAGGGAGCCATGGAGTGCTTTTGTCTCTGGCAGGTTTGTCTTAGTTTGTGAGTAGCACATAGCATCATCTACCTATGAGACAAGGGTAGGTAGGAAGCCTTTTTGCTCTGACGTAGAGCCTTTTTCTCATCAGGGATGGTGGTCTGAAGAGAGAAAAGGTGAAGGATACATTCAAAGAGGAGCAGCAGAAGCTGTACAGCAAGATGATCGCTGGGAACCACGAGGACAGGAGCCGTTCCTGAGTCCTTGCCTTGCGCTGGCTGGTGCCCCCACACGCAAGTCCTGACGTGAGCCAGCAGGAGTTGCTGCTGCCACCGCACCGCCGCCACTACCACCACCGCCGCCGTCCCCATGCTGCATCCTCTCCAGGCTCCGGGGCTCCTCGGGCTGCTCTGGACCCTAGGACTCCAGCTTCTTCAGAGCCACGCCAGGACCCCTGAGCCCTGGGGCAATGCAGCCTGCTCTTTGGCTGTCTGAAGTGAATGCTGCTGGGTGTTGCTGCCTAGGAGGAGATGCCTTTTTGTTTCTTTTACAGTTAAGTCCATTGAAGGAATGCCATTAAAGTCGACTCTCCACCTGTGCACGTTGTGCGGGACTGTGTGTTCAGGAAGAATCAGCCACGTTCCTGTTAGGGATGTTAGAAATATTAGTGTGTCACAGAGGCCCACATCCCAGGGTTCTTTGTTGGGGAAGAGTCTACTTGCTCTTGAGGAGAGGCAGTACTGAGGCACTATGGCTTGCTTCAGCCTTAACTGCTCCCCCAGCCTTGGAGCGCCACAGAGTTGGTAGAAGGAAAACTGTAGTCTGCAGGGGCTTTCAGCAAAATGAAGTTTTAACTTCTTGTGTTACTACTTCCCATGGGAAGTCACCAAAGGGATGATGGGAAGAAGCCAGCCAACCATTGACTAATCTGTAGTGAGAACCAGGAGTCATTCTGCATACAGACTCATCTGCTGGCCCTGAGCTCCCCATGTGACTTGCTGTTTGTTAATGTGTGCCTCAGTTTCCCCATCTGTAACATGGATCAGGAGGGGAGCGGTGGTGATACCTTCCTCACAGGGTTGTTGTGGGGATTAAAGTGCTGCTTTGAGTGAAGGACAAGTAATGCTCAGTGTTAAAAGTGTAGGTCTGTGAGACATGGCAGGATGAGGTCAGCTAAGAGCTGCTGCACAGGCCTTGGAATTTGTTTCTGTAAGTAAATAAAATTTTCTTGGATGGTGAATGCATTGAGGGATTTTCCCTTCTCTTTTTCTTCCCCAGATGTAGCCCTATGTAACATGCTTCTTGTCAAAAGTACAGTTCTCTTACTTCAACATAACCCTGAGACTGACTTTTAGAATGAAGATTAATGTTGTTCAAAAAAAGATAAACTACTTACCACGTGTACTTGTAGCTCTCGTTCGGAGATACACAGGGTCAATTTAGAATTTCCAGCATAAACCAAGGTAGGAATTTCTCCACAAGTGGGAGGCAGGGAGCTAGAAGTATGTAACGGGGGGCCTGTGTCTATGAATTGGGGGTGAGAATGGAAGATGGCCAGGATAATGGGAAAAAGCAAGTGATTACAAGAGGGGCAAGGTAGAAGCAAGAGGCTCTGGAAAGGGTAAGAAGGTGTCAGAATAGGCAGATGGGTGTCTGATGCAGCCAGAGAGGAAACTAAAGGCTTTATGGGTCTCATGGGCCCACCTTACAGTCCAAAGTTGCTCTCTGTCCTGGGATTTGGGGATGGTGGTAGGGAGTTAAACCTTGCCTCTAGGACTGTGGAACTGGTAACACTGTGTCATACTTAATGACTCTGTCTAACTTGACCTGTTAACCAGTTGCCATTGGATTGATTGTGTAGAGTTAGAACTGCTTCATAGGGTTTTCAAGTCTGTGACCTTTCAAAAGCAGATTACCAGACCTTTCTTCCAAGGTGCCTCTGGGTAGGTTTGAACAGACAACCTTTTGGTTACTAGTCAAGTGCTTAACTATTTGTACCACACAGTGACTCCATAACCCACTGCCATTTAGTTGATTCTGACTTAGTAGTGACCCTATAGGACAGTAGAACTACCCCATGGGGTTTCCAATGCAGTAAATCTTTACAGAAGCAGACTGCCTCATCTTTTTCCCACGGAGTGGCTAATGGGTTTGAACTACCGACCTTTTGGTTAGCAGCCTAATCTTTAACCACTGTACCATTGGTTAACCAGAGCTCATTAAGAACTTCATAGTCACCCCTAACTGCCTGCCTTCTTCCTCCCTAAATGGCCTCCCATTTCCTCTTACCTGGTCTATTGCTAATCAGTGCAAAATTCTATCACCTTTTTCTCCTGTTATTACAATAACAGCCTCTTCTGAACTGTTTTGCAAAATATTCAGGTAGAAAAAAATGATGTTCAGCCTTTATGGGAGATGATATTTATAGTATTTAAAAGATATCTTGAATGATCTTTAAAAATGGGTCTTGAAGGTCAAGTTCCCTTTAAAGAAAAACTTAACTTTTCAGCTTCCTGCTGTTTAATATTTTTATTTCTTGACTTACACAGGTAATTTATATATATATTTCTAATTTTTCTCACATTGTTTTCAACAAACCTGTCTAATGCTGATGACATAGCCAGGTATTACAGGAACTAGTTTACAGCCCCTACTATGTAAAGAAATACTTCTGCAGACTAAGCAATGATTGTTTTACTCTTTGTGACAGAGAAGGGATGTGAATTACACCTGCAAAAATACAATCTCAGGTTTTTATCTAGTGCTGTGTTATAAGTATCATACTGCACCATCCTTTTTAATTGGAGATCCTGCAGACCCCAAGTTAGATATAAGTTAGAATTTGGCTTGGGATTACTAAATTGGTCTTCAAGTGGTAAAACTTCATGGCACTTAGGAATAACAACAAAGAAATACATAAAACAGTGTACAGTACAAAATACATTCATTCTGTAACCCCAGCAGGGATGATCTTGCAATAAATGCAAGGGACATTAATTAGTGGTATGAGCACTGGCCAACTTCTCATCCTCCTTCCAAACCTACTACCTCCATTTGCTGTTTTATTTCTCTGGGTCAATTTCCTGATCCATAACTAGGGGCTTAGACTAAGTGATCTTCATCTCTGAAATCTGTGATTTTAAACTAAGTTCAGTTTTGGCTTCTAATGTCTTCTAGGTCTAGAAGTATGAGAAGTCAGTTTTGAATCCATTTGCTTCCTCCAAAATACTGGGGCTAGTGAGACCAAAATCCACTAGAGGGTGTCCCCCCAGAGGAATCCCTTTAAGTATTTTAGGGGATGGTAGAGTTGGATCCACACTTCCGTTGGTCTGGGTGGTTATGATTATGGATTTTGGTGCACTTTCTCTAGCAGACATATTTTTCCAGCTAGAGAGACAGGGACTTTTTAAGAAAGCTGGTAAAATTCCCCTGACATGGGAAGCTCAATAGAGGGCTGTCAGCCCGGCCAGCTAAGCTTGATGGAACGCTTCAAGATGATATCTTTGTGACATAGTGGAACCAGCTTTGGAACTTGATTCTTCACTGTCAAAGACCCACACCCTGTTGCTGTTCTTCAGAGATGGCCAGGTTTGGCATCAGAGGGATGATGGGGAGTGCTCCACAAGCCCTGAATGCCTTCCAGACCAGTGTGTGGGTCCTTGGGCACCATTTTGGTGCCTGCCTTCACATCAGCCCCTTAGCAGTGGTGAGCACTACCCTGTTCTTTGGGAATCTTCTGGGCCTATAAATCCTGCTGTTTCCTTCCTAGAATTGACCGCTCAATTGTCTATGGGATAGAGCTTCCTGTTGTCCCCTGATGCATGACAGACTCCACTGTGTCTCTGGTCCCGTCCATCTGCCCTGCGTCCTGGGTGGCCAGACTCGGTTTCTCCAGTCACACCTTGCTGTGTGGCCTGGGGTATTGGTGCCGGAAGGGCAGCTGCATGCACACTGACTCTTGGACAGGTTTAAGAGACGACCATCTAGCCATCCATCTTCCATTGCACTAACACCTCCTCTCCCCCCAGTCAATATGTCTCTCTCCGATGGGAAAGTTAATAAATTTTGCTCTAGATTAAAAGTATTGATCATTTCATTTGTAAACGATAAATAAAAAGGGGGAACTTTTCATTGCACCAGGGGTAGCGTCTGGTGTATTTTGCTGGTGAGATTGTGCTAGCTGTTGTGGGGGGGGGTGGGCTTCTCATATGCATTCCGGCCGGCCAGCTGCATTGATTTCCTATTAGTCTCCCAGCACCACCCAGTAACACATCATTTCAGTACCTGCTATTAATGGTCTTTTGATAAATAATCACTTGTAAGTCAATAAATTTTTATTAAACAGTGTGGCTCTTTGATTTATTAAAATCCGACCGTGTTTGTCTGGGAGAAAAGGGATGCTGAATTGAAGTGGAGGTTTTCATACATCTTCCTGACGCTGAGCAGTCACCACACACTCCAGAGAAAAACAATTGCATTTTAACAGAAACAAAACAGCCGAGTTTGGAACTTGGGCCCAGGGAAACTTTATCTCCGTCACTCTGAGTCTCACTCTACAGGGAGCAGCTGCAGGTCTGATGGCATCTTGTCAAGAACTTTGTGTTTGCTTCAGAAAGTGGTTAGGTACCTGAGCTGGAGCCCCCCAGCTATATTCTGGCATAGCACAAGACACTGCCCATGCTGCAGACAGGGCATCAAATCCAATACCTGGACTGAAAGGTGTCCCCCAAAGCAGGCACTCTATAACAGACATTCAATCAAGGAGAAAAGATTAACTGTAGGGCCTTTTGGCTCCCTGGACCAATCACCAAAGCCACATTTGGTGGCAGAAGAAGCCAAGAGGTGGGCTATATTTTGTTACATAGAGATTTGACTGTGGATTATTTGTAAAAGTGAGCCAGTAACTGAAGATTGGAAACTTCATGTGAGATTTTCATTGGCATAAAATCTGCTATAGATGGTTTTCATTGAGAATGACCCCAAACAGATGGTTGTGTATAGAGCCAACTGCTAAATATAAGGAGCTCTGGTGCCGTGGTACCTAAGGTATTTGACTACTAACCAGAAGGTTGGTAGTTCAAATGCACCAGCCACTCTGCAGAAGGAAGACTGGGCAATCCACTTCCGTAAGGATTCACTGCCGCAGAAACTCAAAGCGGGTTGCTTTGAGTTGGAATCAAGTCAGTGGCAGTGAGTTTGGTCCTCTCCCCAGGAATCAAGTCAGTGGCAGTGAGTTTGGTCCTCTCCCCAGCCCCCCACAACTGCTGAATGCTCAATCCAGTGGAAAGT